CCGCCCAGGCCCGCCCAGCGCGGCCTGGCGCCTCGGGCCACGCCCCGAGCCTCGCGGCAGCTCGCGATCCTGGGCCGGGCAACACGGCCCCGCCCTCGCGGTGCTCCTAGGCCCCCGCGGCGTCTCGGCCTCTTGGTGCGTCAGCACGGAAGAGGCGGGGCCGGAGGGGCTCGGCTCGGGTGACTGACAGGCCATCTGGGCAGTAATGGCAAAGCTTGCGGACCGGAGTCCCGTGAGCCTCTGCGCCCTCGACTGAAGAGCCAATCAAAATGTTCTTCCCTTAGGGAGGCTCGAGGACTAAATTGGCTGCCGTAAGAAAGAGCTCACTGACCCACACTGGAGGAAGTGACTCGGATCTCCATTTCCGGAGATGCTTGCACCCTTGGGGTATTTCCCAGTAGACTGTTTTTCTCTTCTGAGAAATAAAGGCGGGCTGTGAAGATAATCTTGATTGGCAGAAGAGCAAACCTATCAGCTCTCCCTCGAAAGCTTCACGAAGTCGTCCCCAGACAGCTCAAGAAGAATGGAGAGTCAGAGTAGGGTTGAGGCCTAGTAATCACAGGCACTGATAACCTTAGGATGCGCCACAGTCCAGGGTTGGCGACTCTGGGACCCAACTGAAGGACAGAGGCCGCAGGGCCTGGTTTACGGGGTCCACATGTCTATCAGAGTTCCAGTGCTCTGGACTACTGGCACTAGGCCCGGAGACTCTTGGGGAGGGCATGCCAGAGCCCAGTCCTTTGGCCTGTGTTTGACCCGATCCAACCGTTGTCTCCAAATAAGGCCCAGAGACAGCATTAGCCCTACACTCCAACTCATCAGTTTAAAAAAGAGTTTAAGCACAAATTTCAGCCAACTTACACAATGGCTTTCTGACTGGGGAAAAAAATACCCATAGGACTCTATTAATTTACAGAATGTTCTATTTTGTAAAACATTTTTGCAACTGTTACACTTCCATACAGGTCAACTTCTTATGGATGAGGAAACTCAGGTGGCAAACAGTGTAAAGATCTGTACAGGTTCACACAGCTGAGTCAAAACTTTTTGACCAATATAGATTTCTAGATTCCAGGCCCAAACAAAGGCCATTACTCCAGCTCCATTTAACCTGCTAAAAGTAAACTGAAGGGAGCAGGGTAATGAAGACCTCATTTTGGATCCCAGCTCACATGGGGAGCCTGTAACCCCAGCATCTTCTGGCCTCCCATTGCACACAGATGAACCCACCCACATACAGGTGCACAAATGCCACACATACACATACACCACATCCACACTTCATACACACAAACACTAACCTGCACAACCAGTCAGAAAGTCAGTGGGAATACTGTTAAGCTGTTTCATTGGGGTCTGGGATACATCTTCATTGAGTGGACAGCCAGTGATCTAGCTTCCTCAAAATCTAGAAGACTGTAACTATATGTAACCGAGTACTCCTTTGAACATTGTTCTGGACAGTTACTTTGTTTTCCCCTCCCTTTGCCTGGCATTCTAAGCTATACAGAAAAGTCATACCAAAATGATTACGATGTTATCTGATAATCTTTAAAATTACAGAACCCAGGGCAGGAGAGGGCACAGTTGGTAAAGGCACCTGCTGTCAAGCCAAACTACCTGAGCTAAATTCCAGAACCCACATGGTGGAAGGAGAAACCCAACTCCTTTCCACAGGTTATTCTCTGACCTGAGTTCATAGGTGCACATGTACACACACACACACACACACACACACACACACACACACACGTGTAAGATTTAAAGGTTAAAAGAAAATAAAATTGGCTGGGCTTGATGGTGCACACCTTTAATCCCAGCACTCGGGAGGCAGAGGCAGGGGGGTTTTTGTCAGTTTTAGGACAGCCCGGTCTCCCTAGGGAAACCCGGGCAGCCGGGGGGCCAGAGAGACCCCGGCTTAAAAAAAACAAAAAAAAAAAAAAAAAAAAGAAAGAAAAGAAAAGAAAACGACAGACCCCAGGACCTCTACTGGCTTTCAGCTAGCATTAGAAATAGCGTAGCTCTGCTCCTTATTCTTTAACTTCGTGTACTAACACAAGGCATGGAAATTGCTGAGGGTTAACTTGTAGAAAACTAATGTTTGTCTGAAGAAAACACAGGAGGTCATAGTTCAGGGTAACACTGATGCCACAGGAAACAAAGGAGATACCTGCAGCAAATGATAAAGACCATGCTCAGCATAGAGGCTTCCTACCCATGCCCATGTATCTTCTTTTTACTCTACTGAAGCCCTTCTGTGGACCAGGTTAGCTTCAAAAATTAAACTTAGAGGATACTATCTCCCTCCATTTTATTAGGGATGAACATTGAAGAAACATGTTCTTTTCATCAACTCTTGACTTTGGAGTAGTGAGCAGATGGATGTGGTCCAGCAATAAAGATTAGCCATGTCTACTAACGGTTGGAAAAGATAGAGGAGGATAAGGCAAGGGCAAATTTTCTGATTCTTTTTTTTTTATATTTTATTTATTATTTTTATTTTATGTGTACGAGTGTATTGCCTGTATGCATGTGAGTGCACCTGTGTCCTGCAATTCCATGGAGGTCAGAAGAGGGCTTCAGATTCTCCTGGAAGTAGAGTTAAGGATGGTTCTTAGCCGCCATATGGGTGTTGGGAATCGAACCCAGGCCCTCTGCAAGAGCAGTCAGTGCTCTTAACTGCTGAGCCATCTCTCCAGCCCCTGATTCTTGGGGTGAGTATAACTGTGGAAACTACCATCAACTTCTTTAGTTAAGCTGTACACTGAAGAAGTACTCAAACACATATGCAGAAGCAGAGCCTCAGAAATCAAAGAAAGTACTGCTGCTTAAATCTAAAATTATTATAGCTTTGCTACAAAACCAGGAGTCCAAAGTTAGTGGGACAAACTAGATTTGTTCATGGCCAGCCTCAAAGAAAAAGAGGAGACTTTTCTGACTTAAATATCTATCTTGGAAGTAGGGTATGGTGTTTTATGCATGTAATCCCAGCACTAGGAAGGTGACACAGGAGCATGAGATTGAGGTCAGGAGAGTTCTACACTATCCTATTTAAAAAAAAAAGAAAAAAGAAAAAAAAAGGAGGGGACACTGGAGAGACAGCTCAGCAGTTACGAGTTCTTGCTGCTATTGCAGAGGACTGCAGTTTGGTTTCCAGAACCTACATCAGGCAGCTCACAACCACATTCCGCTCCAGCTCAGGGGATCTAATGCCCTCTTCTGGTCTCCAAGAGCATTTGCACTTATGTGCATATACCCATATGCATACACATAATAAAAAATAAAATATTTTTTTAATCTGGTAAAAGAAAGGAGCCAGGGGCCCCTCTCAAGTCCATATGACCCCTGAGGAACAGATCCTCAAATGGCCTTAAGAGTAAAAATAAATTGGTTTATTTGGGCCAACTGTATGGCCTTAAACATCCAAAAGGAAAGTATAACCAAAGACTAAAGGGGACAATATAATTTTTTAAGAGTCCATATGTATAGCTAAAGGCTACACAACAAGCAACAATGCCAGATAGGAGATACCTTCTTTTGAGTTGTTAGCCAGGGTGGCCCAAGGGACTCCCAGATAGTAAGTAACCCAGCATAGAACTGGGAAAATGAACAGCAGACCCCAATCTTATCTAAAGGAATATTGACAACTGATTGCTGCTAGATGAGGAACAGCTGACCCTCCTAAAACAAAGACTTCTATATAGGCTGACTAGACTCACCGGAAGGGCAAGTAGTGGGGAATGGCTGAGGGTGCCAACAACACAGCAGACAGTAGCAGGGATGACAGAGTATAAGGCCTCTAGTGGGGGGAGGGAGCCTATGGGAGGGTGCCATCTGGCAAGTGGGTATACAGATGAATAAGATGGTTTGGGATGGTCTGTGTGATATACACACAAAAAAAGCAACAAAAAAAACATATATTTGAGGAAGAAGCATAAAAATTTATGTCATGTTAATTAGTAGGGGTGATAAACATTACCATTGAAATCTACCCAATGACTTTATATCCATACATAGGTGCCAAGGATCTGACAGTCAAACTATATTATAAGGTCAAAGGTTATCATACACAGAGCCTCACAGATGTTATAATGAACTACTCCTGCCTGACCAATGTGGAATAGTTTACCTGCTTCACTCTATGGCTGCAGGTACAGAGCACAGAGAACCTGCGGGCACTTCTGCTCTACTCACCACTAGGAAGGGAAACTGCCAAGAACACTCTACTTGACTTACTTCCACATGGCTTACTCCTTTAAAAAGTATGGCCACTTCTGAAAGAGGTGTATCTTTGCTCTGGAAATTGTTATTGAGTATGTTAAAGCTGTAATGAAATGCTTCTTCTAAAAAATTTAAAATAATAGTAAATAAAAAAAATAGAGAAAGAAGCCGGGCATGGTGGCACACTTAATCCCAGCACTGGGAGGCAGAGGCAGGTGGGTCTCTGTAAGCTTAAAGCCAGCCTGGTCTACATATACATAGTGAGTTCCAGGCCAGCTGGGGCTACAGGGAGACTCTGTCTCAAAAAGACAGAAAAAAAAAAAAAAGAAAAGACAAAAAAATTAGGGCTAAGGCTATTCCTCAGTTGATGGAGTTGTTGCTTAGCTCACACAAAGCCCTGAATTTGATCCCCAGCAATGCATAAACCAGGCATGGTAGCATAAGCCTGTAATCTCAGCACAGA